TCACCCTCCACCCCACCTCAATCACCTGAGAGGAATTATCCTCTCACACCTGCCTGCCTCTCTGCCTGTACACACCTTTCAGACTGTCTGTCCATTTTTCTGTCTGTCTGCCGACTGCTCAGGCGCACAAAGAGCGACACACACAGAATCAGTAATGGTACATACAGGCATATTCCCATTTCACTGGTTTATTCATGGCTTCTGGAATAATCTGTTGCAGGGAAACAACAAAACTGTTAACGCTGCTTAGCATCCCATTATTACCAGTAATTACTCCCCAGCATCTGCACACCTGTCTGTGTGTCTGTATGCAGTGTCCCTACATGCCTGCATTAACCTATCATTATTTCCTGCAATTACCTTGAGCACCTGCCTGCCTGTCTGTCTACATGTATCTCTGCCGGCTCCAAGTTTCTCTCAGTGTCTTTGTGTTTTCGGACTGCTGGAGGGAACGAGCACCTGAAGGAAACCCAGACAAACTCAGGGACAACATTCAAATGATTAAGAATTCTCCATTAGATATTGGGCATCTACCTGAAGCTACTTTGCCAAAATTATTTTACGAAAAAATGAAAATCTTTTAGAAAAATACAAGCTTTCATCAAAAACTTATTTTACATGTTACCATGGCTTAAAACGCACCTATTCAGAGTAATCAATGGTTTTATTTATTGTAATAATAAATAAGCCTAATAACCCTGAAGCTATAGTTTTTGCTTACTTCCAAACATACTCCTCTCACCTTAACCCCAAACTACCCTCAGAAGAAAGGATTAGCTAAAATTACCTGACTTCAAAAGACACACAGTGGACAGTAAACACACAATAATAACAGGTGTCCACTCCCGTGGTTCAGGTGTCCTCATGCAGAGTTAATCCATCCTTAATGAATAATCATTAAAATGACTAAAATATCACTTTTCCAACCAAGGAGGTAGGTTGTGATGCTTTCTGGCATAAAATAGGAAGCAGGTGCTGTTCTTCCAGCGGTAATAAAGGTCAAGGTTAAGTCTCTGTAACATCACCAGAGACAACACCTCCAAAATGTTAGTGAAACTTTGACTTAATTCGTAAGAGTGTCTTTGGGATTTTGTTCAGCCGGCCTGCATGTTAAAGATAGCGTCCTCAGTAACATATATCACAGTTAATTTGGAGGCCATGTTGAGCTGTTTTGTTGGGTATAAACAGACTGAAAGGCTCTGTGTGCTTTAGTTACAGCCTAGCTGCCAACAAACATCACTGACAAATACACTCTCTCTTCACTCTGTCTCTTGTCACACTGTTACACATATCATTTCAAACTAAACAGCCCCAACACACTTCACACACCCTCTGCCGTGTTTGACTTTGGGGTAAACTGTACAATTTCCCTGTGAATTAGGTCTGCACTCACGCCGCTGCCAAGTCCACTAAAAGCCATTAGACACAGTGCAGGTTAGAACACTGAGACAAATGGAGTTTACAGCCTAGCAAGCAGTCCACGTTTGTGTAGCGAGACGCTGTACTTCTCTTTGTGATGAATTCAGTCATGTTGAAAGAATTAAGAGAGGTGGCTGGAGGGGCTGGCAGTGTAGCCAAGACACTTGATCAAGTAAAGGAAAAATCTTGTTATTCTGCAAAGTGTCAGAATATGAAGTGTTTATTGTGACAGTGATCTTTTGAAGATCACAGTGATGCTTCAGACTGGCAAAAGAACTTGATATTACATTTTCTATTCTTTTGTTTTATCCCTAAATATAAATGTCAGTAACTGTCATAATAACCAGTCAACTTCTAGCTCGTCTTAATTTCCCACGCTCTAAGTCATTTTTAATCCCTTAACATAACATTTTGCAGCAAAGTAGATACCAAAGAAAGTAATGGATGAATGGTGGAAAACGCCCAGCTTCTGTCTCTCTGGTGGAAAGGCTTACTTGTCCAAACCTACTGAAGGAGCCTGCAGCCATGCTTGCAGCTCTGTGAGGCTGTGCTTTGAGCAAACAGTCAGCAATGCTGACATGAGCTGACATGAGCATGTTAATGTTTAGCAGGTATAATGTTTACCATGTTCACCATCTTCGTTTGGCTTGATAGCCTTCTAACATTTGGTAATTAACAGTAAAGATAAAGTGCAGCTGTGGCTGATGGGATTGTCATTAGTTTTGTAGTCAAAGTTAGTACAGTTCCAACCAACCAACATTGCCTTTTCTAGAGCCATTTTGGCTTGGTTAAAAAAACAGCAACACACCAAGCCTTAATAGTGACAATCCTAGGATCAGTATGTATTGTAAGAAAAAAAGTATCTTAAAAGTATTGTCTTTTATCTAATAAAAGTGTTAAATAACCTCTAGTTTATTATTCAAGGATTTAAGGTTATTTATTGTCACTTACAACGCAAGGTTGTAGAATGAAATTTAGAAATTAAGCAGTGAGTCAAAAAGTACAAATTAAATTAGGGAAGAATTTAACAGCCAGTTCAAATAAACACGTGGAGCATAATGGATTGGTGTGGATGAAAGGGTACTTGAGTTCATCTCAGGGAGCCGTGACAGTACATCAGACAGAAAAAAGGGGTTGGACAGTTGTTTCCAACCTTTTTGGAGCTTTCCAAATCTCATTACTGATTATTTGTTTGAAAACATGGCTCCAGCCTCCTGGTAGCATCTGTTAAAAATATGGCTACAAATCAGCTAATTATCCTCTCTATTACTGTTTACTATGGTTTATTGTTAAAGCTGCCAGTGAATATCCTTTTATGTTTATAGGAATAAACATATAAATAACTGTTGAGATGTTCTCAATGAGGTTCTGGTTAGTGATGATAAAATAAATCTTAAAAATGTCTCTAAACCACCACCATCTTTGACTGATTATGAATGACACATGATGTAATTTTCATCATCATTTCAAGCCAGACATCTTTTAACTTCTATTCCTGCCTTCAATTTATTCCCTTCCTTTGTCATTCGGTGAAGCTAAAGTGATCTAATGGATGAAGACAACAGATGTCCGACTGATTATCAGTCACTTCAGCTGAGGACTGGAACAGACAGCTCACCGATGTCTTTTATCCTGAGATCAAAAAGGCTTGAGATGGATGCGCACAGCATCAGCGTCCTGCAGGGGTCACGTACATCTTAATCTGTCACAGTTTGCTGTAAATGGTAGCTGGCATCATTTCTACCTGTCGTCTACTAGAGGAGCAAAGGAGGGTTTTAGCTAAGACTTTCCATATTAAGATAGAAAACAACATTTGTGGCTCCTTGGGGTTGGATCCCAGATTTGTTATTGCAGTTTAAAGCCAGACATTAAATTCAACACTGTCTGTTACATAGTCTGTCCTGTGGTGATATAAAGGTAGCTCAGGCTGCACATGCATGTAAACTGCAAAGTTACACATTAAGCTGCATTTTACAGACGTACATGCTAGCACTCACGTAGATACACGCTCACGAATATGGACGCAGGCGTGAACAAACTGCACACACACACACACACACACACACACACACGGGTCCATGGTGCAGACAGACATTTCATGGCCGTCAGTTTGAGTGATGACAGGAGCTGATTGCATCAGTGTTCAGGGCAGGAAGGGATCACAAACACACATAAAGAGAGAGGGCAGACACACATACACATACAAATCCCTCATGATGCAGGATAGTGATGAATTCTGTTTAATCCTGTGGTTGGAGCGTCCCAGGTGGGAGGGGTCAGACCTTCTTCTCAGGGCTATCTCTTACAGGCCAATGGTTCAGCCTGATGGCATCCTCAGATACAATGGCTGCATTTATTCATATCCACAGAACAGAATAGAGTATCACCAACCGAGGCTTGCACAGGAACAATGACACTGAATTAGACTTAACTGTTCCTTAATTAAATGAACAGAAAGTACAAAGCAAACATTGTGGTGAGTGACTCGGCCCTGAAGCTGTTGATTGGTCCTGTAGAAAGAAAAATACAGTTGTCCCCTCTTTTTATTTAAGGAAATATAAACTATGATGATACTGTTTACATATGGATATGCTGATTTTATAGGGTGAAAATATTTTAATTTCAGAATTCTTCTGGTGTGGCTTAATCTACTCTTCATTTTCAGAGAATTATCCACAGACTATTCACTGTTGAAACTATATGCAATACTCTTTGAAGTGTCCAAAACGGTCCATGTGGAGGAAATTACACACTCTGTTTGTGGCCTCCTTTGCCTCTGTCTTATCCTTATTTCCATATATCAGAACATTGCAGAGTGTGTTGCATCATTACCACTCACCAGAGGCAAAAAGACCCGTGTTTATCTGTATGTTGTACTGTTTTTTATTTAATTTTCTTGTACGTTTGGTCTGGCTAAATCCATGTAGTAAGCAAGTAGCAACAGAAAAGGGTATTGTTGCTATGGATACCTGCGCACTGATTTACAATCATGGTTAAACTGTTGACCTGAACTATGTTTTAGGTTCAAGAAAATTCATTTCACTAACTTTCTGGAACTTTTCCCTCAGGATAAATAAAGCTTCTTGAATCTTGAATCTTAAAGTGAGGAGCCAATCAGAAACCGTTTTATACAGCCTTTAAGCACACCTGTCCAAACCATTTAAATACACCTTGCTGGACTTCAGGCCTCTGCCACTGGTCAGGATTATGTGCTGTCTCATGTGCTGACCCACATAACTGGACACATAAAAGTCAGCACAGACTCCCATCAGGCCTAGTTAAAGCCCGTTGTCCTGTCGCATTCCTCTCGTTATGACGGTAATCTATTAAGTTTCCTGCTATTATAATGAGGACAGAAGCTGGTTACACTGCGAGCCTAACATAAACCAGCCAACACCGTCGAGCAAATCGCACGTCACTCCACCCTCGGTTTGGTGGACAGTGTGTGTATTTCTTGTATTTTTTTTTTTCCTTCCCTCCCTCCCTTTCCATGTTCTCCACTTCTCCCTCCAAGGCCGCAAGTGTTTGATTCGCTGTCTGGCCGTGCATATTAATGAGAAGGGGACAGCGGGCTGCTTTTAAAAGAGCTGCTGCCTGCCTCTCCACAGCAGAGAGAGAGAGAGAGAGAGAGACCTAACAGAGTGATTGAAGGTTCATCCAAGCGCTCAGGACGCACAGACGGAGTTGCACAATCAGCGCTCCAAAGGGACTCCAGAAAGCAGAAAGCCCTCAGCGCTCCTTCAGCTCTGCCGTCAACAGTCGCTGCAAGTGGATATTATTTGCACCTCGACAGACTTTTGCTGTGTCTTTACTCGTAGACAGCGTTTGGGAAGCTCGGATTTTGAGGAAAAACTGATCTTTTTTAAAAACTTGTGAAGAAATGCATCGATGCACAGCGGTGCTACTTTTGTTAGTGGTGGCCTTATACTTCCTGAGCGCAGAAGGTAAACTTAAAGCTTTGTCATTTGTTCATTGTTATCTTAAGTTGGTATTTTTGCACTTAAGCTTTGGTGATGTAACTGGGTAACAAACAATAGGTGGAGGGATGTATGGTTTTTGTGACGCCTCATTTGCTCTGTTAGTGCGCATTAAGGGGAGAATATGGGTTGAGTGAAGTTGGTGTCAAAGATCCGCAAAATCTCCACCACAGACTGAAAACAACAACTTAAAGTGTCTCAGTGGTGCGTTTGCTTGCATGTTTATGTCTTTATGTTGACATCGCCCTATTCCTACCAGCTGCATGCGTTTTAATCTGATCACAAAAACACTCAATTCAGCACTTTGTTCTTAACCTTATTTCATCCGTAAACACTGAGAACTTAATAATATATAATGATGGATTCAACTGTGGTATTAAAAAATGACCTCATCATGAGCCTTAAGTTGGCATTTGCAAGCCTTCTTACACCCTGAACGCCACTCTGGGACTGTGTGTGTCTGCCAAGACAAATGAAGCTCACCATATGTAGCTGAGATAATTTAAGGCCAATATTCGTGGGGCCGTGTGCAAGGGGGGGTTTGGGGACTGGAGGAAATTGATGGAATAAAATACTATTCAGATTTAATGAGGAAAATGATCTGCGGATATTAAATGTACTATAAATATACTCAGTGGAAGAGTTGTACCTGCAAATGTCAACATGTTAGGATAATGGTAGGATTTTTGGAACACACATATTGCTTAGATGGACTCGTACTAGGACTGGTGTCATAGTTTGGGGGGAAAAGGGGGAAAACCAATAACTTAACAAACTATCAGCTTGCATTCAGCTTTCAATGTCACTTAAATGTTATATTATTGTCATCAGCTAGATGGCAGGACACATAAGTAAACAGTCTCTTCCCATAGGCTGCAGTGTTGAAGCTGTTTACCTCCATCCAAACCCCCATTACACAGTATACACAGATATATTAACCTCAGTGCCACCGCTCTTTTATTGGCCCTTGCTGTCTGGTGTGTATGTGCCGAGTGCCGGCACCACTGTGGGTCTTGTGACAGATTTAGTGGCCGGCGGTGGGGACAGATAGCAGGTGATGGATGAAGGAAGCCTTGGACTATACAGGTCATCACCTCCCATCAAAATATACAACCCAGCAAAAGCTAATTTCCTTTGCCTTTATTCAGCGGCATGAAGTCACAGCAACTGGAAAACTGGACCTCAGGAAGATGTTGGACTGAAATGAATAAATGTATAGATAGATGTAGCCTAAGTTAAAGCAATGCTTGCATCTGTCCCCAGATTTCTAAACTAACTTATAGAAAAGTGGCATAAAAAGTGGGGTTTTCTGTTAAAGCCACAGGTTCTCCCTGCCTAACTTCATTCATTTTTGAGTTACAATTTATTGTTTTTAACATTTTTATATATGACTTTATCTGTAATTAAAACATTTACTGTGTTGTAGTGCGTTGTGCAAGTACAAGAATTAAGTAGCTGAGTGACGGAAATAGTGTTTGTGAAGCAGTGAGTTGCAGGACTTCAGCACTGCTGGTAATCCCTCCTCGTCAGTGTGTGCTGTCAAGATGAACTGCAGACTGATTGAGAGCCAGTTGGCTGACAAATCACAAAGAATTAACTTTTCTGTCTCGTCAATATCTTTGTCAGTTTTATAGCTGGAGGTAATTCTGAGTCTAACTTGAATAGTAATCTGTCACACACTTCCCTTTCCACATCACATTTTTAAATCCCCTGGCATTACAAGTTCGTTATGTTTCCATTTGATGATTAAAGTCAGTCTTATGCCTGTGTGTGTGTGTGTGTGTGTGTGTGACTTCTCAACAGCCTACAAGTGCAGGTGCACCAGAAAAGGACCAAAGATCAGATACAAGGATGTACAGAAGCTGGAGATCAAACCCAAACACCCATACTGCCAAGAGAAGATGATATTGTGAGTGAGAATTTTGTCTGTCTCTCTCTCTCTCTCTCTATCTCTATCTCTATCTCTCTATCTCTCTCTCTCTCTCTCTCTCTCTAGTTTAGTGGTAACTCCTCTTTATCCTTTTCATCCTTTGTATTCTTCTTTTGCTTGCCCTTTTCTTACCCTCTTCTACTTCTTCCCTTCTCCGTCCCTGTGCTGGCACTACAAGTCATGATATCACAGTATTTGTACAACTTTACTGTGCCATGACTGTCCTCCAAAATACCATAAACATAAACACACATAAATATTTTTTTGCCAGCTGCACACTTACATCCATTATCAAAACATCCTTTCATCTGTGCTTAAAGCACTTAGGATGGTTTAATTGGATTTAATTGAACCCCGCAGTCAGGAGCAAGGAATGATTTATTAGTTGAAAAGGTGGGGAGAGAAGAAACGCC